CACCCAAACTATGATGTGTCTATCCCCTAACCTGTGCTCTACCGTCCCCTCCCTCCCACCCCTGTAACCAACAAATACATATTTTTTTCTTTTTATTTTAGTATGGGTATCTTTTCTTAAGCTTCTACATCAATGGTTTTATGCAATATGTCCTTTTGTGACTGACTAATTTCACTCAGCGTAATGTCCTCAAGGTTCATCCATGTTATGTGGTGGTTTGCAGCTTCCTTGTTATTCTTCAAGGTAGCAAATATTTGATTGTATGTATCACAATTTCTTTATCCATTATTCCACTGATCAGCACTTAGGCTGTATCCATCTTTTAGCTATTGTGATTAATCCAGCTATAAACATTTGTATGCATATATTTACTCATGTTCTGGCTCATATTTCTTGTGGATATATACCAAGCAGAGGAATTGCTGAATCATAAGATATTTCTATCTCCAACTTTCTGAGGATGCACCATATCATTTTCCACAGTGGTTAAATCATTTTACATTCCCACCAGCAATGTAGGACGGTCCCAGTCTCTCCACATCCTTGACAGCATTTATTGTCCTCTGTTTTTTTGAACTTCGCTGTTACTACTGGTGTGAGATGATATATCTCATTGTTGATTGCTGTTTTGATGTGGATCTCTCTAATGGCTAGTATTCATGAACATTTTCTCATATGCTTGTTGGCTGCCCAAATGTCCTCCTTGGTGAAGTGTCTGTTCATGTCCTGTGCCCATTTTTAATAGGGTTATTTGTCTTTTTCTTGTAGAGGTATTGTAGTTTCCTAAGATTTCAGAGATTAGGCCCTTGTCTGATATGTCATTGCAAAAGATATTTTCCCATTCTGTGGGGTCCCTTTTTACTTTTTGGTGAAATCTTTTGATGCACATAAGTGTCTAATTTTTAGTATGTCCCAATCACCTATTTTGTCTTCTTTTGCCTGTGCAATTCTCGCAATGTTTGGTAGTCTATGTATGCCCTGTATTTAAGCTTTTAAATTTGTCCCTATTTTTTCATTGATGACCTTTATAATTCTGGGATTCACACTGAGGTCTTTAATCCATGTTGAGTTGGTTTTTGTATATGGTATGAGATAAAGGTCTTATATTAATCTTTTGCATATCAATATCCAGTTTTGACAGCACCCTCTGTTGAAGAGACTATCTTCTCCCTATGCAATGTACTTTGGCCCGTTGTCAAAGTTTAGTTGGCTGTATGTGGATGGATTAATTTCTTTATGCTCAATTCTGTTCCATTCATCTATGTATCTTTCATTGTACCAGTGTTTGACTGTTTTGACCACTGTAGCCAGGTAGTAAAATTTGAAATCAGAGAGTAAGAGGCCTCTAACTTTGTTCTTCTTCTTAAGCAGTACTTTGCTTATCTGGGGACTCTTTCCTTTCCATATACAGTCTCTATTCCACTGATCAGCACTTAGGCTGTATCCATCTTTTAGCTATTGTGATTAATCCAGCTATAAACATTTGTATGCATATATTTACTCATGTTCTGGCTCATATTTCTTGTGGATATATACCAAGCAGAGGAATTGCTGGATCATAAGATATTTCTATCTCCAACTTTCTGAGGATGCACCATATCATTTTCCACAGTGGTTAAATCATTTTACATTCCCACCAGCAATGTAGGACGGTCCCAGTCTCTCCACATCCTTGACAGCATTTATTGTCAACAAGAGCACTGGGACATTTTTTCCATCTCTTTAAAGAATGTCGTTGGAATCTGGATTAGGATTGCGTTATATTTATATTTTGCTTTGGGCAGTATAGACATTTTCACAATGTTCAGTCTTCCTATCTAGGAACATGGTGTATACTTCCATTTTTGTAAGTCTCTTCTGGTTTCTTGTAGTTGTGTTTTGTAGTTTTCTTTGTATAGGTCCTTTGTTTCTTTGGTTAGATTTATTCCTAAATATTTCATCTATTGGGCGGCTATTGTAAAAGGTACTGCTCTCCTAATTTCCTTTTCAGCACTGTCATTATTAGTATAAAGAAATTTGACTGATTTTTGTATGGTGATCTTGGACCCTGCCACTTTGCTGAATCTTCCAATGAGTTCTAGTAATTTTTTTGCTGAGTCTTTAGGATTTTCTATGTATAGGATCATTTTATCTGCAAATAAGAGTTTTACTTCCTCTATATCAATTTGGATGGGTGCCTTTAATTTCTCTATCTTTCCTGATAGCTCTAAGACTTTCAACACAATACTGAATAGGAGTGGTGATAAAGGTTCAATTCCTGTTCACAAAGGGAAGGTTTTCATTTTCTTTCCATTGGGAATGATATTGGCTGTTGGTTTTACACATATGCTTTTAACTATGTTGAGGAATTTCCCTTCAATTACTACTTTGTTAAGTGTTTTTTTTATCAGGAATGAATGTTGCATTGTGTCAAATGCCTTTTCTGTATCAATTGATATGATCATGTGATTCTTTTAAGTTTTTTATTTATATGGTGGTTTACTATTTTGTTTTTCTAATATTGAGCCATCCTTGAATCCCTGATGTGAACCTCATTTGATCATGATGTATTTATGGGAAGTGATTCCCACCACATCCACATTTAATTAGCCTATCTGGCTGGTACAAAAAGCAGATGGAACTTTGAGAAACATAGTGGATTATAGTAAACTTAACCAGGTCATGATACCTATTACAATTGTTGTTCCAGATGTTGTTTCTTTGCTTGAACAAATTAATACCTCTTCTGGTACCTAATATGCAGGTACCTGATCTGGCTAATGGCTGTTTCTCAATTCCACTTTATAAGGATCATCAGAATCAGTTTGCCTTCAGTTGGCAAGGCCAACATAACACTTTCAGAGTCTTACCTCAAGGGTACGTCACCTCTCTAACCCTCTGTCATAATTTAGTCCACTGGGACCTTGATCACCTTTCCCTGCCCCTAGACATCATACTGGTCCATTACATTGATGGCATTATGCTTACTGATGCTAGCAAAGAAGAAGCATCAATGAATCTAGACTTTGAGGGGAAAAGTGTACATTCTGGTGGTGGTGGTGGTGATGTTGTGTGCCACTGAGTCAGTTTCAACTCATAGCAAATATGTATAGGGTTTCTGAGAAGCATCTGGTGGGTTTGAACAATTAATCTTGATGTTTGTTCAAAAGACGGATTTAGACCACATTCTACACTTATACTGATTCATTTAAAATAACTCTATGCCCAAATGGGATTTGAACGTTTGGTATAAGGTGACGATTGACAATACGTGTAATGGGGAACACAATTCAATCCATGTGAGCAAGTATTGTATTTAATGTGAATGTGGGGTAGACGTCACTATGTTAATTCAATGAAGACTCCTCAGATTACTGCCAAAGACCAACAATTCTCCACCCGGCTTAACTTGCATTTAGGCCACCCGTTTTCATTCATATCACCACTGCAACAAATCTGGTCTTCAGTTGGAATTTGTCCATTGAAATTCAAGGTATTCTAAACCAAATGTCCTTGAATGGAGTGGATTCTGGCTCCACAGCACAAGGCAAGGTCCTAGGACCTTGATTTCGTGACATCTTACCTCCAGAGAATATCACCCCATTTTTTTTAGAAACTTCCTAAATTATGTGAATAAAACATCCGGTCTGGGCATGGCTTTGAGAACACTGGGACAGAGCACAGGACAACTGCAAGTACTGCCCTAGGTGATGATTTCACTCTGGTTTACCCACAATTCTAGAGTCATGGTGAAGAGCCAGTCTCTACTCCTGGCACCGGTGCTGACTCTGAGAAACTGCATGGGCATGTGTGCACCTGCATACACCTTCATGTTGTTGTTGTTAAGTGCCGTCGAGTCAGTTCTATCCCATAGCCACCAAGTAGAGGGTTTCCAAGGATTGGCTGGTAGGCTTGAGCGGCCAACTTTGTGGCCCAAACCACCTTTGCAGTCCAGCCCACTAACCCACAGCACCACACTAGGACTTGGCACCCCTCCAAAACCTGTCCTTGTTTCCCCAGAAACTCTCCTTTTTTCCTATAATCCTAGCACCATGCACCTTAACATAAAATCCCCTACATTACAGTTCTCTATGCAGTCTAACTTAAGGAGCTCTGGTAGCGTAGTGGTTACGAATCGGGCTGCGAACCTTAAGGTCAGCGGTTCGAAACTACCAGCCGCTCCGCGGGAGAAAGATGAGGCTTTCTACTCCCGTAAGGATTTACACCCTCGGAAACCCTGTACAGGGTCGCTATGGGTCGGAACCGACTCGACGGCACTTAACAACAACAACAATGCAGTCTAACTTAAAATTCTCACTGAGACATCCAATTGTCTTAAAGACACAAACTGCCCTGCCTCATGGCATGCACACTGAGGGGAACCCTGAAGTCCTCATCCCCTTGTTACTAGTCCCTTAGGACTTGGTGAGCAGCTCACCCTTTTCCTTATTTCGCAGTTGCTCTTAGACTAGAAAAATGTATGGACAGTGGCTGTCAGGCCTCTGCCTGAAATTTGCAAGTGTTAGAGCTGACATTAAATTACTGTTTCAGGAAAATAAGAGTCGGTCAACAAGAGTTCTAAAGCATTGCATTTTATTTTCTCTCACATATCTCAATTCCCTAAACAAATCTGGGCACATGTGTATTTTACTTTTACTAAAAGGAATAAGGGAGTCAACAGTTGACAACCCCATAGATATTGCTCACTCTTTTTCTCTAACAGTTGTTGTGGACTTCCTTAACACTTTCAAGGATTTTCAATTTATTTACAAAATACAAAGTTCTTAAACCTATGAATAATAAGACATATTTGAAAGTGAATTTAGAGTCGGAATCTCTATAACCCTTCAACTACAAGAAACAGCATTGGAAAACTACAAAAATGAGCTAGATCTACAAGTCATTCATGTATAAGGGGCACATAATAAGGCAAAAATGCAAGCTCCCTCCATTCCCACTTAACTTCTAATGCTTACAGGATAACAGCCATTTTCAACAAGTGAAGACTCTGCTTTACCGCTTCACTTGGGGTGGGAGGACCTGCTGGACTTGGCCCTGAAACGGGCCATAGCCCTGGCATTACGACCTGACCATACTGTGGCTTCCTCTCTCTCTTCCTCATATCCCCAAGTTGCTTCATACAGGGCTTCAAATGCACTGGAATCAATATTCTTTATCTTAGTCCAAAACTCTATGACTCTCATCATACTGGCTTCAGTATGGGCTCTGGGCCCCCACAGGAACTCATAGCGCGGAGGATCACTGCCAGGTACCTGCCGGTACTCCAGGTACTTTTCCTGCACCAAATCTCTGGTCAGAAGCTTCCTGGGGTCACCGAAGATGAAGTGTCTTTTCCCATCATAGATCCCCAAGGCATTCAAGAATTCCCATATCTTCTCCTCAGGGGCCCGGTGGTTGTTCATATAGATCACACCCAGGAGAGGCATCAGAATCCCCTGCTTGGGAAGCCCCCTGCCACCACTCAGATTCTCTTCCTTGGTCATCTTTAACTGACTAACCAGAGCATAGGACTGACCTTTCGGGTCAACTTCCTTCAGCTCAAGACCAAAGACAAGGTCCATGTGCTCAGAGACTCTCCTGAGGATCTGAGGGAAATGCTCCTTGTACTTTTTGTTGATGATCTTCATCATTTCTGTCTTGGTAATGAGCTCTTTCATTTTGTACTTATATAGCAGGAACTGCAACAACAGGCTAGTTCTCCAGATCACAGGGTCTCTTTGAGACTTCTCAGTGGAGGGTGAGGTCTTAGTGGAATTTAAACTTCCCTCTTCTTGGTTGTTGGCACCTACATCAGCAATGGCAGTGGAGATGGATGGGACTCTGTCAGGCCCCTTGTGACTAGGAGTAGTTTGGGAGCTCTGGAGAGAATCCCCAAAAGAAGTAGAGGGGGAGGGGAGAGACCCTTCTTCCTCTACTCTAGTGCCCTGAACACACTCAAGACCGTGGGTGTCACCTCGGTCCTGGCAATTTTTCTCTTGGGCTCTGAGCTTACTCTTCTGATTTCGAGGCATGATGACTCTGGTCAAGGACAGCAGGCAGGAATGTGGGAAGACAGGTGATACCTGTACTCTGCAAGAGGGAGTTTGAAAGCCTGTGAGCCAAGTCAGCAGAGAGATTCCTTCTTGGCTTTAACAGTCACACCGAAGCCTCTGCAGAATTCTTTGAGGGCACTGCTCTAGGAACCCACAAGACTCCTAGTATCCTGGTCAGGACCCTGTAGAGACAATGCATGTAAAGATTAGTTGTCACATGCCAGCTCTGTTTGGGGCTTACTGCATTGACAGTAGGGTCTGCTAGTAATGACTTTCATGGGGAGAGATGTTCACAGTTCACTTTCTGGACCATTATATCTACTCCTGACAGAACCCGTATTCCCTCCCCTTTTCTCCTCTAAATGCAACACCTCAAAGCATTTTAGGACCCGCCAGTATGAAGTGGAAGAGTAGTTTAGACACCACTCTTGGCCAGCTGTCCCAGTGATGTTAATGACATAAGGCTTGTTCTTTCCTGGGTTCCCTGGATGCCTGAGTTCTCCCTTAGGGGCCTCACCTTGGCTGACTCCTTTGAACAGGTCCTTCACCTTCCTGAGGTGTCCAGGGAGGAAATGTGTCCAACTCACTGCCTCAGCATGTCCAGGTCCCCCAGTTCTATAAACAGACGAGGGGATGATTAGAACCCCTTTGTTATTTGGAGAAATCACCTCATTCTAACTGTCTACATTGCATCTGCTGTGTAAGCCTTCCAGTTAGTCAAAGTACTTCTTGCCCATGAGAGGAACACAGGAAGCGGCACATTAGTGTTATCTCTGATCGGGCCTTCATAAGGGTAATAGTATGAGGCAACTTTGGTCAGCCTTCCCTCTTTTTCCAGGGGGTGGTGAGGTTTAGGGGGTGGGTTAATTTCATCTTTCTGCCTAAAGGAGTTTCCCTTAACTCCCCTGCTTCTTGGATTTCTCTCTCTGCTGAATTGGGTCTGAAACAAAGGACCTCATTTCCCTGAGCTCATATAGGCAGAAGTCAAGGAGCACTTGAACTTGCCAGTTTTGTCCTGGACTCCCAAGATCAATGGCATTCACAGAGCTCAATGAAGCCCTTCTCATTTTGGGTTGAGTGGTTCCTAGTAACTCAATCATGTCTTCACCTTAACTCCACTGGGATCCTGAGATCCTGAACCACAGCCAAGCTGAAGCCACAGCCCTCAGACAACAACAGACCACCCCTTCCTGAGAACTGAGAGTTAGAGATCAGATTGAGCTCTGCCTGCAGGGGCTCTGTAGGAGATGCACTAGAACAGGAACCACAAGGTTGTTTGTTCAAGTCCACCAGATGTTCCACAGTAGAAAGATGAGGTTTTCTGTCCCACAACACTTTAAAACCTAGGAAACCTTATACTACGTCGCTATGATTCTGAACTGTCTTTAAAGCATTTATCAACCAGCAATGGCTGTTAGTGTGATGGGATGTGACTGGTTTTGGAGTGGGGTATGGATGGAAGATGTTGTTGCTTTTGTGAATAAGTGTTGTCGAGTATAGTCTCACTAAAAATAACACTGTATAGGGTTTCTGAATAGCAGCTAGTGAATTTGAACTGCTTTCCTTGAGGTTCAAATAGACCTTGCGATCTAGTACTTATCCTACAGTGCCACCAGGACTCCAGGTAGAAGATAGGGGAGGGTCTCTTGGACCTCACAGTTGTCAATTTGAAGTCCCCTGCATTTCTCACTCATGCTTCTGACCTTGACTCTAGTTAAGCCCAGGGATCCCTACTGCCATTAGGTGGCCTGAAAGCGGGAGTGTATCTTTATGGTTCAGAATCCATCCCTACCTCCCTAGAGGGGATTCAGGACACTGTACTTCTGCCTCGTTTGCTGTGGGCTCCAAGAGCTGACTGCAGGGGCAGAGTTCTTGGCACCCCCTCAAAGGCGGGGAGGCTCCCACACAAGCGCTAAGGGTCCTTGTCTAGCCTCTTGGTAGTTCTCCTCCCTCTTTGAAAGTGGGGTTCCTGCCTTAGACCAAGTCCATTCTGTTCCCGGGACTGTTCAGATTTAAGGAGGTCTGAAGTCTCTGAGAGCCTCAGTAGAGGCAGAACTTTGTAGGACCTCCTCTGTTCTAGGTTAAGTGAACCCCTCTGTCCGCATTCAGGGTCCTCACCTGGACTTTCGTTGTCTTCTGGGAATCCAATTCTCCTTCTAGGATGAAAAAATGCAGACCCTCACACCAGAGCGGAGCCTTCCCCTTGCACCTTCCAAATGGAAGTCAGGGAATGTCACATCTGCCTAAGGCTGTAAGAGCGTCTGGTACAAGCCAAGTCTGATGTGCAGGGGTGGGGGAGGGGGAGGAAGGTGGACAGTAGGGGCGGGGCTCTGGAGGCCATATTGTAATGTGATTGATGGTCCACTTTCTAGGTCTTCATATTGTTCTTGTTGTTGTTAAGTGCTATTGAGTGGGTACCGATTCACAGCGACCCTGTAATAGATTTCTGAGGAGCCACTGGTGAGTTTGAACCATTAACCTTGCGGTTCAAACCGATCTTGTGGTCGACTGCTTTTCCTACAGCACCACACCAGGATATGAAAGATGAGGGTCGTTCCTATACAGATCTGAGTCCCAACCACAGAACAAGACCCTCACATTGCAGACGCCCTAGATGGGGAGGTTAGGGCTTGCCTCATGGCAATGGCTGCATTGAGATGTAGCACTTAATCTGGTGCAAAGAAAACCAAATTAGACAAAATTATATGCAAGAAGAAAACATTTTTTTATTCACCTGATGTCTTCTAGTTGGTAACAACTAAAATTAACTGCTCGATAATGGGGTTTTCTTGGCTATGATCATTACAGAAACAGATTACCAGGCCTTTATTCTGCAGTGCAGCTGTGTTGGTTTAAAAAAAAAAAAAAAAAAAAAAACTTTGAAAAAATACACCGATACATAGAAAGATGATCATTAAATACATAGAGATATGCACTGAAATAAGTCTGTGTATGTATGATTTCTATAAGGGCACTCTAAAACATTTGTGAAAAAAATTTTTAATTATCTTTTACTTTTTAATTTACAAAGGTCATTGTTGTTGTTGTTAAGTGCCTTCAAGTCTATTCTGACTGATAGAGATCCCATATAGGGTTACTGAGGAGCAGCTGGTGGGTTTGAACTGCCAACCTTGCAGTGCTACATAGGCTGTATATTTAGAGTTACAGTCTAATGCAGAGTGACTCAAGAACACAAAAAACCCATTTCTCTTTCACCCCATTCCGAGTGCCAGGGTAGGGACCCAATTGGAAGGAATGTTTCTTGAGACCAATTCACAGATTTACAAGTTTCTCATTGAGGGCAACCTGTGACTCTGAGACTGACCAAATAGGTCACCATCAGCAGGTTATTGATATAATTGTGGAGCATGGTCTCAAAGTCATCAGGGACAATTTTGGATACTTGGTTAACCAGACTCATCAAGGAGCAGCCCCCAGTATTGTCAGCTGACACTTTTCCAGACAGTGCACCCTCTGCATGCTGCAACACCATGCTGAGGACATCCTGGATGAGGACTGACATCCTTCCAACTTATTGCAAGACACTGGAGAGCCCCATCAGCTGGTTGGGGCTTAAACAGGTCTTCATAATCATAGCAACTCTGATGCATTGGTGTCATAATATGCATCTCTCACTGTCAGGTGTGAACATCACCCCCATAGTTCTTCCCGGGGCACCCACTAAAGTGTTGAGACAGGCCTTGGTGCTCCTGCAACAATTCTGGGGACTCGTGCACACAGTGAAGTGTATGTGGTTGGAGGATTCTCAGCTGGATGAGCACAGAGGGCTCTGTGATGTCCTGCTCTGTAGCTACTAGCTCGGGGTGAGCTTCTTTGGAGATACTTTCCTGTGCAATTCATACATGTTCTTAGCAAATTCAGTGTCAACAGTCACCTCATCTATAGACCCAGTGCATGGCACTGCAAAGCAACTGCTAACTTCCACTGAGTGCTTGTGGACAGTCCCAGCAGGGTCCCCACAACGCAGACAGCCCTTTCATTGCATTGCTCATAGGTATCCATGAAGAAGGCTAAAATGACTGAGTGCAGCCAAACCAGGAGGCAACCAGAGGAGAGCTCAGGGAGAGATGGGCCTGGGGGAGGCGGCGCCAGAGACTGCGCTGGGACATACACTGATGCGGGTAGTGCCCCGAGGCCACTGTCACACCCCATAGTGCAGTAGGATCTGATGATAAGACAGGGGCTGGAGTCAGAGCTGGGGCCAGAGTCTGGGCCAGGACAGGGCTGGGGCTGGGGATGGGGCTGGAGCCAGGACAGAGTCCATGCTGGGTCTGTGTGGCCACAGGACTCAGAGGTGGAGCCAGTGTGGCCATTTTGTCAAAAGAGCTCATTATCCTTGAATTTTACTTTTCCACAACATTTTTGTTCATATATATATACATATATATATATATATACACACAAACACACATACAAACACAGACAGACAGACACATATATATGTGTATGTATATATATATATATTTCAACACTATTCAATAGAATATTGGATTCAGTATAGGAGGATATTGAAAGTGCCATGGGCTGCCAAAAGAACCAAAAGATCTTTGTTGGAAGAAGTGCAGCCAGAGTGCCCTTGGAGGCCAGGATGATCAAACTTCGTCTCTCATACTTTGGACATATTATCAGGAGGGACCAGTCGCTGGACAAGGGTTCATGTTTGGTAAGGTGGAGGGTCAGAGAAAAAGAGGAAGAGCCCCCCTCTCCCTCCCAGTGAGATGGGTTGGCCAAGTGGCAGCATCCACGTGCCCAAGTGTGCCAACAATTGTGATATTGGCCCAGGATCGGGCAGTGTTTTGTTCTGTTGTGCATAGGGGTACTATGAGTCGGTACCAACTCAATAGCACCTAACAACAACAACATATGTGAAATTTTAAGTGCCTCGGTTCTAACTCATAGCAACCCCGTACAGGCTTTCCGAGGGGCAGCTGGTGGGTATGAGCTGTCTACCTTGTGGTTCAAACTGACCTGACAGTTGAGTGCTTATCCTGCAGCAGCACAGCAGGGCCCCTGTGAATCAATAGATAGAATAGACTATGGTTCCAGGACAATATCTGTAAGTGCTGTCAGGGCGATTCCGATCGACAGTGACCCTGCACAGGGTTTCCAAGGAACAGCTGGTGTTTGTGAACTGCCGACCCTTTGGTTCACAGTCCAGTGCTGATCCTATAGCCCCACACAAGGAGTCCATAAATATATACGTATGGTAATGGTGGTGTGCAGTTGATTCTGAATAGGGGTACTGAGGCATTAAGTCTTTATGGGAGCTGGGAGACTCATTTTACTCCCGGGGATCGACGGGTGGATTCAAACTGCTGAGCTTTCAGTTAGCAGTCCAAGGAGTAGTCACTGCGCTAATAGGGCACACATAGTCCCTGTCTCTGTCTCTCTTTCTTTGTGTCTCTGTCTGTCTCTCTCTCTGTCTAACACACTTTCCACAGCCCAATGGTTCCCAGGAAGCTATCAGAACTCTCTCTCTCTCTCTATGAGTTCTGGTACTCTCTCTACTATCTCTCTCTCTCTGAGTCCTGGTGTGGCACTGTGGATTAATGCGCTTGGACTGCAAAGTCGGTTTGAACCCCAAGGTCGGCAATTCAAGCTTAACAGCCGCCCTTCAGAAACCCTATACAGGGTTTCTATAGGTCAGAACTGACTCAAAAGTACTTAAAACACAACGTGTATATAGTCCTGGTATGACATTGGGTTATTGTGTTGGACTGCAAGGTCGGTGTGAACCGCAGTGTCGGCATTTCAAACTTACCAGCAACTTTCCAGAAACCCTATACAGGGTCGTTGTGAGTCGGAACCAATTCGACACACTTAACAACAACAACAACAACAACAACATGTCGCTGTAGGGTAAGCACTCAACCCCAAGTTTGGTTTGAGCCACAAATTCCATGGTTCCTTTCGACAGCACTTAACAACAATAACAACATATATATAGTGTACATGCATACATATTGTATGTGTGTTACTATGTCAATAGGAAAACAAAAATGGCACGCCTTTTGTTCCCTCCAACCTGCCTTGCTTGCACGACTTTAGGAGGTGAACCACCCGTTTCAACAAGAAAGTGAGCAATCTTCCTGGGACTTCACTTGGGGTGAGAGGAGCTGCTGGCCATGCCCTGAAATGGGTACTGGCCATGGCAGCAGTGCCCACCCTGCCTGCAGTTCTGGCTCGGGCCCTCTCTTCCCTCTCTCCCAACTCCTCTTCATGCAGGAATGAAAAGCTCCTGAGGACTGTATCATGGATCTTAGCCACAGACTCCAGAAATTCACCATGTTGCTTTCAGCATGGGCTTGTGGACCCCACAGGAATTCATAGAGTTGACAGGCCCTGACCGTCACCTGGGGCCAGGCACTGTTCTCACGGGCATGGGCCATACTCCTCTGAGCAGCAGGCATGCTGACTCGTGTCAGGGACAGCTGGGAGCAGTGGGAGGAGGCCGATGATGTGGGCCTCATGGAGGAAGAAGCTACAACGGCATGTGCACTTAGGCCAGAGAGAACCTATCTTGAATTTAACCGAAGTAGGCTTTGCATTTGTCCGTGAGGGCGACCCTGTACAGGGTTTCCCAGGCTGTAAATCTTTATGGGAACAGAAGCCCTCACCTTTCTCTCACGGAACAGCTGGTAGTTTCAAACTGCTGACCTTGTGATTCACAGCCCAATTCGTAACCACTACACTACCAGAGTTCCTACGCTTAGGGTCTCCCAAAGCTGGAAGCATGAAGGGATTCTGTGGGGACTCCTCTGTTATTGAAGGGTGGTCTCTACAGTTGGTAGGGGCCTTCTGTTGACAACTAGCACAACATGGAAATCCTGCTCTGCCCCTCTGCATCAGAGGCCCTCACCTGCCTGAGACCACGGAGGCATAAAAAAGCGTGAGCCACGTTCAGTCACCACCATTCATGACTTCCTTGGATAGGTAATAGGAGGGAACTATATGGCCCACGTTTATAAGACCACTGGCCTTTTTAGTTTTCACTCAGTCAAGATCTGGGACTCCTCTCTCAGCCCATCTGAGTTCTCCAGCCTCAGTCCAAGGCTCTCACATCCAAAACTCCATCTCCACAGAACGTGAGCAGCCAGTTTAACCTGACAGCTCTGTCCTAGGCTTTCCAGAGTTGATAGGAGGGACCACACTATCTTCTGGCACCCTAATTTCTGGGCAGAGTATCCCATCCCCTCTGTCCTCACTCAAGGTTCTCTGACACCCCATCATTCCTTACTTCTCACCTTTGGCTATATGGTACCAGACTTTTCAAACCTCCAAGGCAGTATTCAGAAGGGACCACAGTTGGCCACAACTGTTTGGGTCTTTTGAGGCCGACAGCAGTGGCACGATTCTATGGATCTCCACTCTGCAAGAGTCACTGATCCCTTCAGTTGTCCCTCCGACCCTCACCTTGGTCAACCCGAGCCTGGTACTCCTCCCTTTATTGAACAAGGTTGTCAGCTCCGTGAGTCTCTAGAGGGTGCCACGTCTGGTTCCCTCTTGATGTTCCAGGCCTCATAGCAGGGACCAGGCTCAGTGGAGCCCCTCTGTTGTGGTGGGGGGTTCTGCTCATTAGAACTCTGGGTCCTTACCTTGTAGCCTGTCAGGAACTCCTCCTTCTGCAGAATGTGGATCACCACCAATACACCAAGTTCTTCCCCACCCACCAGAG